GTCTTTAACAAGGATGTGGAAGCCGAACACAAGTATCCTGCACCTGCAAATAAAATGTTCCTGGTTGAATTTAACTCCCCGGGGTATTAGAAGCACGGCTATAAGACATTCATTTATTGTGAACGAGCTTGATAGCTATTCTGTACTCTTCCTGTTTTCTCTTTCTTGATTGTTGTTTAAACGTTCTACTGGGTTAGCCCGATTGGTACACCCACGTCCTTGTTAACGGACGCTCATTGGCATGTCCTTTTCAGCAGTGTCATTCGCAAGAACACATTCTATTGGTTTTTTCTTCTCATCACTGTTCTACTTGGTTATGTTAAAGGAATATTTAGTTTTCACACGATTATCGTACTAGTTTTTAATTTTTGGGTCTGCATTTCTTATTCTCGTTTGTTTCGGGACATTTGTTTAAACGCCACATTCCGTTATTGTGATTGGCCAGTGCTCGTCACAGTAAATGGACGTTCGCTTTACGCTTGGAGTCCAATGATGCTATTTTTAGGGACATATGCGATTCGCTCTGGAGTACGCGGTTGCTTATTCGCCGTTGCATTTGAAGTTTTTCCTTCTGTTGATTGGCTAAAGTGTACTTTAGTAGCTTCCCTTCATTTTTCCTTCAAACTATATCAGCAACTGTGATTTCATGTATACAAGTCTCTACCTGACTCGTCTTTGGAGTTCTTCTTGCGGTCATGGGGTGAAGGCGTCAGCGGCGACACATCTACACATCCACTTCCATCACATTGAAAATGTAGTCGGGCCATCAAGTCTAGTGTAATCCATTGCGTACTGATATAGGTCAATGTCAAACATAAAAAATTAGCACAAGTTGATTAATTAAGACAGTAAGAAGACATATGTTGCGATATGTCAACATTTCGATTGCTCTCGTCAGTCGCTACGCAATACAGGCTAGACAAAACACGCAATATATAGGGTCCACACTTAGTAACAAAGATAAGCAGATAAAAATGATAAGAATGACGTACGCAGGTCCAAGGCAATCTAATTGATTGCATCAATTGTTTCTGGGCACAGAGCACGGAACAATTCAACCTTATCAGTAGCGCCTCGCCAATTGCCAAAAACCTCGGGTTCCTGTTGCGCAATAACACCTTGAATGAATCGATGAGGTTCATCTGGTGACGAGTCGTCATGTGGTGTTTGTTGATAGACGAAACAGGGTTCCGGTTCATTCTTTGTTTTGCTCCGCCTTGGTTGAAAAGCAACTGTCTTAGCCACATTGGGAAGTGTTCCGCCATCCTTTGAGTCAGCCGGCGACCAGTCTTGCCTATGTAAGTGTCACCGCAACTGCAAGTGAACTGATAGATGATATTAGAGGCCGAACTGATTGGCAAGCTACTCGGACGGCTCTGGAGAGGAAGCATTTGTGTAGTGTGGATAAGTCGTAGTTGTGCGGTATAATAGGTGCGCGTTAGAGCGGACCTGAGCTTGTGACCAACTTCATTTGCCACGTGATCCTACTTGAACGGTAAGAACAAATAAACATCCTTCTTCGCCGCTGTTTGTACTGGCAGTTTCTCCTTCGGGGGTCTGCTATGAATCTGAATGAATTTTTCCTGGATACCCATTGGCTAGCAAAGTCCGGTATAAAAACTCTTCTTCCGCCTTGAGCAATTCCGGACTGCAAATCCGCCTGGCTCTGCAGAAGAGAGTTTTTACGTGGCCGCGATTGTACGCGAGTGGGGCGAAGCTGGAAAAATGTAGGTATTGTCCCCCCCCCCAGGTCGCTTTTCTGTACACAGTGCGCTGCAGTGTGCCATCGGTCATTCTCTTGATGAGCACGTCCAGAAACGGCATTCTGTCGTCTTGTTCTCTCTCCTGTGATACAGAAAGGTTAGGATGAATTGAGTCCAGGAGGGCAGAAAGACGGTTAATATGTTTCCCATTGGTGAAGACGAGAATATCATCTACGTAACGCTTGTAAATCATGGCTTCACCAATGCAGACAGCAGCTTTCCTTTCAATCATACCCAAAAAGATATCTGCCAGAACTGGTCCCAGATGACTGCCCATAGCGACGCCGTCAATCGGTTTGTATGCCGTCCCTTCAAACTGCAATGGCTCATTCTCAGTGCACAACAATATCAAGTCTCGCAGAGAGGTTCCGACTCAAAAGAAATCGGCATAGGTCGTCGACCGTTTAACGTAGGGGCACATCCGTGAAAAGTGATTCCACGTCTATGGAATACCTGAGCTCCGCGTCCAGTGTTGTTTGTTCCAAAATATTCGCCAATCCAAAGGAGTCTTTCAAACAATGCGTGCTCAGGAGCTTACGCACGGGTTCTAAAAGCTTTGACAACCACCGAGCTACTTTGTGGTAGGGTGAGTTATTCATACACATTATTGGACGTGGTGGAATTCCCGCCTTGTGCAAATTCGGCGCACCCCTCATCCTTGGTGCTTCCGTCCCTGTCGGTTTTAGCTGTCGATATTGTGCCTCGGAAATATAACCATGAAGCAAAAGAATTTGTAGATGCCTTGCAATTTGTTTCTCCACCAATATATTGTTGTCAAGCATCTTGTCAATACGAAACTTGCGCCTATCTCCGAGAATGGACTCCATTTTTGCGGTGTAATCAGCTTTGTCCATTATTACCACACCCGTGCCTTTATCCGGTTGCAGGAAAACTACGTCCTTCATTTTCTGCAGCTCCTTGATTGCAACATAGTGTTCGGACTTCAAGCAACACCTCTGACTAATAGGCGCATTCAAGAACTGGTGCGAGATTTCCATTAATTTTACCCATAATCCATCCTGCATCATCCGTTGATTTCGGCGAAAGGTCGCTGAGTTGATGGTAAAGATATTCGAAATTAATCTGTGTATGGTTCCTGTCCACATTCCTCGGCGGTATTCGATATTTTAATCTAAGCGTAAGCAATTCCAACTGTTCTGACGTGAACCGAGCTGTCGACAGATTGTACGCATGCCTCTGGCCCTCGGTAGCGAAAGGAATGTTGGCTGCTCTGACAAGGGTACATTGAAGGCTGCGCAGTGTCTTGGTCCTAGTACGCTGGAGAGTTTCAGCAGAAAATGCCTCAAATTTGAAACGGCAGACAAGTGACAAGCCATTCAGAACAACCGTGAATCGCTTTTGTGTCTCCAGGAACTTATGCTCTCGTTCAATGCAAGCATCCATACGTGCGGACGCAATCCTGGCTAGATTCACACTGTTAGCGGGCAGCTTATTTTTCGATAGAGTTTTAGCAAATCGAGATGGAAATCGACCTGACTGGATACATTCTTGATACAATTGAACCCGTACGCGTTCCACCGTGATCTTGCAGCGCAACCACAACAATCGATCCAATGAACTCACAACGTCAGCGGGGAGTCTTCTTTTAAGAAACATGAAACACTGAGTCCCATTTAAACTTCCCCCATTCCCCGCCTTCAAACTTCAAACTTCCTAACATTTATTTATCACAGAAGATTGAACTAGACGACAGAATGCCGTTTCTGGACGTGCTCATCAAGAGAATGACCGATGGCACACTGCAGCGCACTGTGTACAGAAAAGCCACCTGGGGGGGGGGGACAGTACCTACACTTTTCCAGTTTCGCCCCACTCACGTAAAATCGCGGCCTCGTTAAAACTCTCTTCTACAGAGCCAGGCGGATTTGCTCAAGGCGGAAGAAGAGTTTTTATACCGGACTTTGCTAGCCAATGGGTATCCGGGAAAAATTCATTCAGATTCATAGCAGACCCCCGAAGGAGAAACTGCCAGTACAAACAGCGGAGAATAAGGATGTATATTTGTTCCTACCGTTCAAGTAGGATCACGTGGCAAATGAAGTTGGTCACAAGCTCAGGTCCGCTCTAACGCGCACCTTCTCCACTGCACAACTTCGACTTATCCACACTACACGAAGGGATACTCTCCAGAGCCGTCCGAGTAGCTCGCCAATCAGTTCGGCCTCTAACATCATCTATCAGTTCACTTGCAGTTGCGGTGACACTTACATAGGCAAGACTGGTCGCCGGCTGACTCAAAGGATGGCGGAACACTTCCCAATGTGGCTAAGACAGTTGCTGTTTAACCAAGGCGGAGCGAAAGAAAGAATGAACCGGAACCCTGCCTCGTCTATCAACAAACACCACATGACGACTCGTCACCAAGTGAACACAATCGGTTCATTCAAGGTGTTATTGCGCAACAGGAACCCGAGTTTGTTGGTGATGTGTTTTCAGTGCTCGACTTAGCGGCTTCCTAGATTGGGCAGCGCACTGTGTACAGAAAAGCAACCTGGGGGGGGGGGACAATACCTACATTTTTCCAGCTTCGCCCCACTCGCGGCGAAGTACAATCGCGGCCAAGTAAAAACTCTCTTCTACATAGCCAGGCGGAATTGCTCAAGGCGGAAGAAGAGTTTTTATACCGGACTTTGCTAGCCAATGGGTATCCAGGAAAAATTCATTCAGATTCATAGCAGACCCCCGAAGGAGAAACTGCCAGTACAAACAGCGGCGAAGAAGGATGTTTATTTGTTCTTACCGTTCAAGTAGGATCACGTGGCAAATGAAGTTGGTCACAAGCTCAGGTCCGCTCTAACGCGCACCTATTATACCGCACAACTACGACTTATCCACACTACACAAATGCTTCCTCTCCAGAGCCGTCCGAGTAGCTTGCCAATCAGTTCGGCCTCTAATATCATCTATCAGTTCACTTGCAGTTGCGGTGACACTTACATAGGCAAGACTGGTCGCCGGCTGACTCAAAGGATGGCGGAACACTTCCCAATGTGGCTAAGACAGTTGCTTTTCAAACAAGGCGGAGCAAAACAAAGAATGAACCGGAACCCTGTTTCGTCTATCAACAAACACCACATGACGACTCGTCACCAGATGAACCTCATCGATTCATTCAAGGTGTTATTGCGCAACAGGAACCCGAGGTTGTTGGTGTTGTGTTTTCAGGGCTCGACTTAGCGGCTTCCTAGATTGTGCCACGCGATTCAAAAGACAAACCACTGGACGAGTAGTATATTGGCGAAACACAGAACAGGCCGCGTTGGGATGAAAACACCCTGATACAGTTCAAATCACGGAAGTGTGCTCGTTTGATTTTATATGTCTCAAAGAAACAAGGGACGTGTGAGTGGCGTGAAACAAGCGATAGTAACAATGTTCTGCAACATGGAAAAACACTAGTCTGCTTGTAACTAAGACTGTTCTAATGCAAGGCACACGGTTCCTTGTGGGAAATCGCGCACTTACCTTTCCGAACAAGTCAATTTGTTTCGTTTCGGTGCGCATTTGACTTTGGTCTGTGTGAAATTCTGTTTTTCCATCCAAGTTACAAGATTTGGCCTGAATCAGTGGCGCCAACTCGACTTGATTTTCAGACAACGCGATTTTCCTTAGAGCAGGCCGTTCGAGACCTAACACCTCCCCCTTGTTGAAATAGTTGAGCCGGTATTGGTATATGTCTTCCTTCGGGGGTCTACTTGCATGGGCTGCACGCATCTTCTTCTCCGTGTTGGCCTTAGTTGTTTTTCATTTTCAGCTCGTTCCATGGGTTGTGTATCCTGTCTAATCGAGGTGCTTGGCTGCGAAGGGTACAACAATTCATTGAACGCAAATCCTTCGGAATGGCGCGCCTCTTGTATCCTTGTAATCCGCGGTCGTAGTTGGTTCGCATGGCGAACCCACAGCTGTCTGCCAACACGAACATCGTACATTACTTTTCCGCGTCGTCCTACTACTTGACCTGGTATCCAACTGATTTGACGCCCTTGATGAAAGGCAGCAAACACTGCGTCACCAATTCTAAAGTTTCTGTGCCGTGCTCCATGTCGCTTGTTGTAGTGAGTTTCCATTAGTGAATTCGTATGATGTATCGGTGGGCGTTTTGGAGTCATCAAATCTAGTGTGGTTCTCAGTCTTCGACCCATGAGTGCTTCAGCGGGTGACTTTCCATCTGGTGCATTGGGATTCGGAGTAACCCGATAATTTAGCAGAAAATTTTCCAGCCTTTCATCCAGGGTCCCCTCCCCCTTCGATTTTAACAAAGCACGTTTCAGGGTATCAACATACCTTTCTGCTTGGCCATTGGATTGGGGATGATACGGTGCAGTCCTCATATGCTGTATTCCATTTTGTGCACAAAAATCAGCGAATTGATAAGAAGTGAACTGTGATCCATTGTCTGATACGATCGTTTGTGGCAGCCCATACTGACTGAAAAGACGCTTCAGTGCAAGAATTGTGCTGTTTGAGGACGTATTTCGCATCACAGTAACTTCAGGCCACTTACTGTATGCATCGACAATGACGAGAAAGAAAGTTCCCTCAACTGGTCCCACAAAGTCCACATGTATTCGCGACCAGGGTGATTCGGGACGCGGCCAAGATTGTAATGTTGTGCGCACTGGTAACTTGGAAACACTGCAGCATTTAGAACAGGATCGTCCAATGTCTTCTATTTGGCTATCCATTGAGGGCCAAAACACGTAACTGCGCGCGAGTGCTTTCATTCGGGCGATTCCTGGGTGACCTTTATGCAATTGCCTCAGAACTCGTTGCCTGAGTACTTCGGGAATGACAAGGCGATCTGCGAAAAAGAGACAGGCATCGACTTCAGACAGAGCATCACGTCGTGTGAAAAACTGTGCAAGCGATTTGTCAGGGCACTGCTTTGGCCAACCTTGTCTTGTATAAGTCAAGACTTTCTGTAGCAATGTGTCCCGACTTGTGGCTGCCTGAACCATTCTTGCAGTTAGTGGTAAAGTACTCACGGCATCCTGTATCATGTGGCTGATATCCGTGTCGGTTGTGATTGAAGCAATGACGGCATCCTCCGGCTCACGTCGACTAGTATCGATTAATCTGGACAGAGCGTCCGCTTGCCCAATGGAGTCAGTTGACGAGTACCTCATGTTGAATTCGTATCCCAAGAGCAAAGTGGCCCACCTTTGAAGACGACTGGCTGTATATGCCGGAATACCCTTTTTGGATCCAAAAATGGCGAGTAGCGGTTTGTGATCGGTCACTAGTGTGAAACGCCGTCCGTAAATCATTTTGTGAAATTTCTGAACAGCGAAAACAATAGCGAGGGCTTCCTTCTCAATTTGGCTGTAGTTCTTCTCAGAGGGCGTCAGGGCTCGTGCCGCATGCGCAACAGCCTTTTCTGAACCATCTGGAAAGCGGTGTGAAATGACTGCACCGATTCCATAGCTAGAAGCGTCTGTTGTTAGGATGATCTCCAGATTAGGATTGTAATGGGTGAGCAACAGATCTGATTTTAGTAGCGATTTCAATTTTTCGAATGCCTGTTGACACTGCCTGGACCATTTCCATTCGACATCTTTCGTCAGCAAATGATTCAAAGGTTGACGTAAGCGATGCATCGCTGGCAAAAATTGGCCATAGTGACTCACCATTCCGAGGAACGATCTCAGAGTTGTGACATCCGTTGGTGTGGGCAATCTGTCTATCAGCTCAATGTTCTCGGGGTCGGGATGTCGTCCGCGTTCACTGATCACGAATCCCAGGAACTTAACAGACCTCAAAAAGAATTTGCATTTCTCTGCACGTAAACGGAATCCATAATCTTTAATTCGCATCATCACATCATCCAGTCGTTGGAATAGTTCCTCCTGTGTGGTGCCCATAATGATGATATCATCCAGATAGGCTGCAGCTCCAGTTATTCCAGTCAACATGGCATCCATAACTTGCTGAAAAATTGCTGGAGCGGTTTTAACGCCAAACGGCAGACGATTGTATTGGTACAGACCACGATGAGTGTTGATCGTGAGAAGCTTTCGACTTTCAGGTTCAACTTCTAACTGTAAATAAGCATCAGCCAGATCCAAAGTAGCAAAATATTTACCACCATTCAGCTTCGCGAATAGATCGTCAGGAAGTGGGAGTGGGTACTGATGTGGTTGTAGTGCATCATTTAAACCAGTTGAAAAATCTGCACAGAGGCGAATAGAACCGTTCGGCTTCTTAATTACGACGATAGGAGCAGCCCACGGTGAGAAATTAATGGGCTCGATCACACCAATTTGCTGCAATCGATCAAGCTCATGCTCAACAAGTACTTGAGATGCATATGGGACCGGACGCCTGGGTCGAAACACGGGGGTAACATCAGGTAGTAAAGTAAGTTTTGCCTGCATCTTGTTGCAATGTCCAAGTTCAGGTTGAAAAACGCAAGCATATTTTACCTGAAGCTGTTCGGCAATAGTTTGACGTGGATGAGGTGGCACGGTTGTATGATGCACCATGACGTTCGTTTCGGAACACACATGATTCAATGGCACACTAAGCAAATTCAATCTTTCGATCCAATCAATCCCAAGAAGATTAATGTCAACAGAAGAAATTAGGTAGATGGTTCCACAGAGCTTCAGATCCTTAAACTTAACTTCACATGTAAACTCACCATCTAACCTCAGTGGTTCACCGGATGCATTTTGGGCGGTCAAATTTGTGTGCCTGAGTGGTGGTCTACCGAGTCTCATCCATGATGATCGAGAAATTATGGTAATGTCCGATGCCGTATCTAGTTGCAACGATATGGGAACATTATTAATTTCAACGGTGAGGTACTTTCGCTTGCCGGCAAATTCTGTGCGACAGGTCGCGAGAACTACTTTTGTCTTTGCACCGTTAAAGGTCTTTTTGGATTTAGAGTTCGTGTGCAATTTAGGGCCAGACACAGTCCTGGAATTGTAGGTGGTGTGACAATGTGATTCTTTATGACCAAGGCGTTTGCACTTCTGACAGAGATGTTTCCTATAGGAACAGAAACGTACGAAATGCCATCCACCACAGTTCCAACAGGAAGTTGGGGGTTTCTGGTTGGGGACTCTATGGCTCACATTTTTACCGCGAACAGCTGTGTGATAAATTTGCGGTTCATTCCTAGAATGAGCATTTTCAATCATTTTGGTATCGTGCTTTAGATTAATCAGTCTCTGGCACTCAGCAGCAATGTCCTGTAATGTCATATGAGGTTCCTGTTCTAACTTATGCAGGATACGTGTGCGTACGTCAGCATCGGCGTGAGACTGAAGACTACAAACAAATATGAGGCTTTTGAACTGATCAGGTGTCATCATACCCAGTTTGAAACGTTCACATTCTCTATTCACAACTGCAGCATGTGTTATATAGTCATGAATATCACTTTTGACCAACTTAAAACAATGATAACGAATACTGAACAAGGATGCTTGCTCACCGAAAATAGTCTTCAGTATTGTCACCGTCTCGTCGAAGCGAAAGTCTCTGGGGTTCTTTGGCAGCACAAAATTCGTGTACCGTTCATGTTCGACTGCACCGAGTTTGCGCAACAACAACCGAACTTTCCATGCATCATCTTGTGCCTCCAATTCAATGCGGAAAATATCTTCATATTTCTTAAACCAGGATTCAAAAGTTACTCCGTTTGATTCATCAAAAATGAACTCCGTAATGGATGCTGTAACTGCGTCTACTGAGATCCGTGCGCCAGCATCTTGGGATTCTGGTTTAATGTTCAATTTCTGTGCGAATAAGTCGAACAGCTGTTTCTGGGATCTCTCGAACTGCACCTGCTGTTGATGGAGGAGCTGCTGCATCTGCTCAAAAGAAATGGCCATTGTTCAACACCTCCGTCGCCAGAAATCTGTTGTGTCTTCAGGGCTCGACTTAGCGGCTTCCTAGATTGTGCCACGCGATTCAAAAGACAAACCACTGGACGAGTAGTATATTGGCGAAACACAGAACAGGCCGCGTTGGGATGAAAACACCCTGATACAGTTCAAATCACGGAAGTGTGCTCGTTTGATTTTATATGTCTCAAAGAAACAAGGGACGTGTGAGTGGCGTGAAACAAGCGATAGTAACAATGTTCTGCAACATGGAAAAACACTAGTCTGCTTGTAACTAAGACTGTTCTAATGCAAGGCACACGGTTCCTTGTGGGAAATCGCGCACTTACCTTTCCGAACAAGTCAATTTGTTTCGTTTCGGTGCGCATTTGACTTTGGTCTGTGTGAAATTCTGTTTTTCCATCCAAGTTACAAGATTTGGCCTGAATCAGTGGCGCCAACTCGACTTGATTTTCAGACAACGCGATTTTCCTTAGAGCAGGCCGTTCGAGACCTAACACCTCCCCCTTGTTGAAATAGTTGAGCCGGTATTGGTATATGTCTTCCTTCGGGGGTCTACTTGCATGGGCTGCACGCATCTTCTTCTCCGTGTTGGCCTTAGTTGTTTTTCATTTTCAGCTCGTTCCATGGGTTGTGTATCCTGTCTAATCGAGGTGCTTGGCTGCGAAGTGTACAACAATTCATTGAACGCAAATCCTTCGGAATGGCGCGCCTCTTGTATCCTTGTAATCCGCGGTCGTAGTTGGTTCGCATGGCGAACCCACAGCTGTCTGCCAACACGAACATCGTACATTACTTTTCCGCGTCGTCCTACTACTTGACCTGGTATCCAACTGATTTGACGCCCTTGATGAAAGGCAGCAAACACTGCGTCACCAATTCTAAAGTTTCTGTGCCGTGCTCCATGTCGCTTGTTGTAGTGAGTTTCCATTAGTGAATTCGTATGATGTATCGGTGGGCGTTTTGGAGTCATCAAATCTAGTGTGGTTCTCAGTCTTCGACCCATGAGTGCTTCAGCGGGTGACTTTCCATCTGGTGCATTGGGATTCGGAGTAACCCGATAATTTAGCAGAAAATTTTCCAGCCTTTCATCCAGGGTCCCCTCCCCCTTCGATTTTAACAAAGCACGTTTCAGGGTATCAACATACCTTTCTGCTTGGCCATTGGATTGGGGATGATAAGGTGCAGTCCTCATATGCTGTATTCCATTTTGTGCACAAAAATCAGCGAATTGATAAGAAGTGAACTGTGATCCATTGTCTGATACGATCGTTTGTGGCAGCCCATACTGACTGAAAAGACGCTTCAGTGCAAGAATTGTGCTGTTTGAGGACGTATTTCGCATCACAGTAACTTCAGGCCACTTACTGTATGCATCGACAATGACGAGAAAGAAAGTTCCCTCAACTGGTCCCACAAAGTCCACATGTATTCGCGACCAGGGTGATTCGGGACGCGGCCAAGATTGTAATGTTGTGCGCACTGGTAACTTGGAAACACTGCAGCATTTAGAACAGGATCGTCCAATGTCTTCTATTTGACTATCCATTGAGGGCCAAAACACGTAACTGCGCGCGAGTGCTTTCATTCGGGCGATTCCTGGGTGACCTTTATGCAATTGCCTCAGAACTCGTTGCCTGAGTACTTCGGGAATGACAAGGCGATCTGCGAAAAGAGACAGGCATCGACTTCAGACAGAGCATCACGTCGTGTGAAAAACTGTGCAAGCGATGTGTCAGGGCACTGCTTTGGCCAACCTTGTCTTGTATAAGTCAAGACTTTCTGTAGCAATGTGTCCCGACTTGTGGCTGCCTGAACCATTCTTGCAGTTAGTGGTAAAGTACTCACGGCATCCTGTATCATGTTGCTGATATCCGTGTCGGTTGTGATTGAAGCAATGACGGCATCCTCCGGCTCACGTCGACTAGTATCGATTAATCTGGACAGAGCGTCCGCTTGGCCAATGGAGTCAGTTGACGAGTACCTCATGTTGAATTCGTATCCCAAGAGCAAAGTGGCCCACCTTTGAAGACGACTGGCTGTATATGCCGGAATACCCTTTTTGGATCCAAAAATGGCGAGTAGCGGTTTGTGATCGGTCACTAGTGTGAAACGCCGTCCGTAAATCATTTTGTGAAATTTCTGAACAGCGAAAACAATAGCGAGGGCTTCCTTCTCAATTTGGCTGTAGTTCTTCTCAGAGGGCGTCAGGGCTCGTGCCGCATGCGCAACAGCCTTTTCTGAACCATCTGGAAAGAGGTGTGAAATGACTGCACCGATTCCATAGCTAGAAGCGTCTGTTGTTAGAATGATCTCCAGATTAGGATTGTAATGGGTGAGCAACAGATCTGATTTTAGTAGCGATTTCAATTTTTCGAATGCCTGTTGACACTGCCTGGACCATTTCCATTCGACATCTTTCGTCAGCAAATGATTCAAAGGTTGACGTAAGTGATGCATCGCTGGCAAAAATTGACCATAGTGACTCACCATTCCGAGGAACGATCTCAGAGTTGTGACATCCGTTGGTGTGGGCAATCTGTCTATCAGCTCAATGTTCTCGGGGTCGGGATGTCGTCCGCGTTCACTGATCACGAATCCCAGGAACTTAACAGACCTCAAAAAGAATTTGCATTTCTCTGCACGTAAACGGAACCCATAATCTTTAATTCGCATCATCACATCATCCAGTCGTTGGAATAGTTCCTCCTGTGTGGTGCCCATAATGATGATATCATCCAGATAGGCTGCAGCTCCAGTTATTCCAGTCAACATGGCATCCATAACTTGCTGAAAAATTGCTGGAGCGGTTTTAACGCCAAACGGCAGACGATTGTATTGGTACAGACCACGATGAGTGTTGATCGTGAGAAGCTTTCGACTTTCAGGTTCAACTTCTAACTGCAAATATGCATCAGCCAGATCCAAAGTAGCAAAATATTTACCACCATTCAGCTTCGCGAATAGATCGTCAGGAAGTGGGAGTGGGTACTGATGTGGTTGTAGTGCATCATTTAAACCAGTTGAAAAATCTGCACAGAGGCGAATAGAACCGTTCGGCTTCTTAATTACGACAATAGGAGCAGCCCACGGTGAGAAATTAATGGGCTCGATCACACCAATTTGCCGCAATCGATCAAGCTCATGCTCAACAAGTACTTGAGATGCATATGGGACCGGACGCCTGGGTCGAAACACGGGGGTAACATCAGGTAGTAAAGTAAGTTTTGCCTGCATCTTGTTGCAATGTCCAAGTTCAGGTTGAAAAACGCAAGCATATTTTACCTGAAGCTGTTCTGCAATATTTTGACGTGGATGAGATGGCACGGTTGTATGATGCACCATGACGTTCGTTTCGGAACACACATGATTCAATGGCACACTAAACAAATTCAACCTTTCGATCCAATCAATCCCAAGAAGATTAATGTCAACAGAAGAAATTAGGTAGATGGTTCCACAGAGCTTCAGATCCTTAAACTTAACTTCACATGTAAACTCACCATCTAACCTCAGTGGTTCACCGGATGCATTTTGGGCGGTCAAATTTGTGTGCCTGAGTGGTGGTCTACCGAGTCTCATCCATGATGATCGAGAAATTATGGTAATGTCCGATGCCGTATCTAGTTGCAACGATATGGGAACATTATTAATTTCAACGGTGAGGTACTTTCGCTTGCCGGCAAATTCTGTGCGACAGGTCGCGAGAACTACTTTTGTCTTTGCACCGTTAAAGGTCTTTTTGGATTTAGAGTTCGTGCGCAATTTAGGGTCAGACACAGTCCTGGGATTGTAGGTGGTGTGACAATGTGATTCTTTATGACCAAGGCGTTTGCACTTCTGACAGAGATGTTTCCTATAGGAACAGAAACGTACGAAATGCCATCCACCACAGTTCCAACAGGAAGTTGGGGGTTTCTGGTTGGGGACTCTATGGCTCACATTTTTACCGCGAACAGCTGTGTGATAAATTTGCGGTTCATTCCTGAAATGAGCATTTTCAATCATTTTGGTATCGTGCTTTAGATTAATCAGTCTCTGGCATTCAGCAGCAATGTCCTGTAATGTCATATGAGGTTCCTGTTCTAACTTATGCAGGATACGTGTGCGTACGTCAGCATCGGCGTGGGACTGAAGACTACAAACAAATATGAGGCTTTTGAACTGATCAGGTGTCATCATACCCAGTTTGAAACGTTCACATTCTCTATTCACAACTGCAGCATGTGTTATATAGTCATGAATATCACTTTTGACCAACTTAAAACAATGATAACGAATACTGAACAAGGATGCTTGCTCACCGAAAATAGTCTTCAGTATTGTCACCGTCTCGTCGAAGCGAAAGTCTCTGGGGTTCTTTGGCAGCACAAAATTCGTGTACCGTTCATGTTCGACTGCACCGAGTTTGCGCAACAACAACCGAACTTTCCATGCATCATCTTGTGCCTCCAATTCAATGCGGAAGATATCTTCATATTTCTTAAACCAGGATTCAAAAGTTACTCCGTTTGATTCATCAAAAATGAACTCCGTAATGGATGCTGTAACTGCGTCTACTGAGATCCGTGCGCCAGCATCTTGGGATTCTGGTTTAATGTTCAATTTCTGTGCGAATAAGTCGAACAGCTGTTTCTGGGATCTCTCGAACTGCACCTGCTGTTGATGGAGGAGCTGCTGCATCTGCTCAAAAGAAATGGCCATTGTTCAACACCTCCGTCGCCAGAAATCTGTTGTGTCTTCAGGGCTCGACTTAGCGGCTTCCTAGATTGTGCCACGCGATTCAAATACAAACCACTGGACGAGTAGTATATTGGCGAAACACAGAACAGGCCGCGTTGGGATGAAAACACCCTGATACAGTTCAAATCACGGAAGTGTGCTCGTTTGATTTTATATGTCTCAAAGAAACAAGGGACGTGTGAGTGGCGTGAAACAAGCGATAGAAACAATGTTCTGCAACATGGAAAAACACTAGTCTGCTTGTAACTAAGACTGTTCTAATGCAAGGCACACGGTTCCTTGTGGGAAGTCGCGCACTTACCTTTCCGAACAAGTCAATTTGTTTCGTTTCGGTGCGCATTTGACTTTGGTCTGTGTGAAATTCTGTTTTTCCATCCAAGTTACAAGATTTGGCCTGAATCAGTGGCG